AAGGGCCACTCCGCCGAATGCGTGGCAATGTCAGATCGGTCAGATCGTGCGCGTAACCATCGCGCATGTGTCAGCTGCATCTACTCTAGTTCTCAAACAAGATGCTTATTCGGTCCCTCATGTCAACGGCCGGTAAGTCCCCCCCCCCCGGGGGGCCTCTTCTCCAGATTGCTAGGTGTGGACCACATACTGACAGGTTTCCCTCAGACTCGAAACACCTTCAATCAAAGACAGCTCGAACAGCTCCTGCGCAGCAGCAACCGAAAGTCTGACTATTGGGCTCTTACTATTGCTTGTGCTCAGGGTAGCCTGCGGCGGCAGCAGCAGCAGCACCACGCACGGCAGAGAGAGGTATAAGAAAGATATCATCATGACGCAACTAACTCGTTTCTCATATCCGAGGCAGCCAGTCCGGTACATAGATGGAAGCTCACCATATGTACGGGTTTTTCGCGACATACCATCTTACCTGGTTTGTGCGTTGAGCTTCCGAAGGAATCGGATTTAGCGGCCTCGGGGTCTATGACACCCCTAGGAGGTGGAGAAGAATGAACATTTCTTCAACACAAGGGGTTTCTGCCTGGAGTAGGAGAGTCATCCATCAGCTGTGAGGATGCGAACCATGCTGATAAATACAAAGCTCACGGGAACTTGGTCATTGAAAGGAAAGGGGAAGGGAAGGGAAGGGGCACAGGCCCCAAGGTCGAGAAAAGCAGACCCTCACCATCCCTGTCCCATACGTCCTACTTGCGACGATGACAGATCCACGCCGGCGCATTTGAGGATAAGTAGCGTCGGTCGTCCACGGCGACGAGGACCACCCGCGCACGTGCGTTTGTTGTACGATGGAAAGGGCACGCACACGCACGGACCTGAACATGAAGTATGGATAACCGACAAGCATATGGGCGCATATGTCTAAGTAGCATAGTTTAAAAAACGGTGGTAGGAGATATTGCACCTACTTACTTTACTTAGGGACAGGCAAAGGACCATGCAACATTGTGGGGGTCGAGGGCGATGAATGGGATGGTGTATATGGAAACCCTGCTAATCCAAGTGGGTCTGAGGCTGTTTAGCGGAGGGAGATGCAAGATGCAAGTTGTGCTGGGAAGAGTTTCGCATCCGGCGTTCTTCTGCATTCTATACCATCACGACCATTGTCTGGAGACAGGAGGAACTACTTGAGGACGTTACAATTGATGCTGTACAGGTCAGCTTGTGACTTGCTGCTTACAACAGTGCTACTGTTGACTTGCATGACGGTGCACAAAACGTGCAGATATTTGACATTATGACATTAAATGATTAGCGAAATCCAAAGACCGAAATATGACATATCCATCACTCAATCCATTAACCAATCAGACGGAAATTCCCAAGCTCACAGCCTCCCGACCGCTCATGCACAGAATGATGAATCCACCTCAGTGTAGGTCGCTGTAACCCGACCCAGCGCAACGGCCTGGTTGTTGGTCAGGCTGTTCATGGCTGCCTCAGCAATGTTGAAGCCGCCGGGAGCCGCATCAATGGCCGTCACGTAGATCGAGGTGGTGCCGTAGGTCAGCTGGTAGCACTTTCCGCAGTTGGGACTGCCCCAGCCCGACACGGTGGGAGCACCTCCAATGTTGGGGAAGCCCGGGATGTCGGCAAAGGTAGCGTAGTTCAGGTTGGAGCAAGAGACGGTGTTGATGGATTGGCTGCCAACATCAAACACTGTGTCGTAGGAGACGGAAACGCTGACGGCCTCGGCGGCCTCGGTAGTGGTCTCGACTGGGGAGGCTAGGGCGGAGGTGTAGAAGACACTGAGAACCGCCAGAGCAGATGCGAATGACTTCATCTTGGCGTAACGAATATTGTCTGGGCTGGGAGAGTATGACGAGGTTGTTACTCTTGGTTTCTTGATTGCGTGGGTAAGAGGATGTGTGTGATCAACTTGATGAGCAGGTAATTTGAAGTGTCCGAGGAGCGGTTTATAAAGCTTTCTCTCTTCCTTGACTTGGTCGCGAAGCGGTGTGTTATCGAAGGTAGGCTCGCTCAGTGGTTGCCTTGGATATGACCTACCTGGTCAACGTGCTGCTATGATCCGTCGCATCCGCCTAAGCACTGGAGGCCTGATGCTGGGAATAGTAACATGATCACAGAATATATCGTCCACGTATTCCGAACTAGGACAGTGACAGGTATAGATCTGCACACAACGAGGCGGGAGTGAGACATTCCCCCTCATTTGGCGGAGAGCAACACCACATCAGTAGTGAGCGGGAGAGACATGCGGGGGTGGCAGGGACCGCAGCACAGACAATCCGGACCAGTCAGAGCAAACGAGCTCGGGCTTGGGATGAGACATACAGCCTTAGAGGCATTTGCTGCCCTCTCATCCGGCTACCTCCGACTGGGAAAAGAACAGGTGACTTGTCTTGGAGGCTGTGGGTTGACTGGGAATGGATCCTATTCATAGATCATCCAAGTAATACAACTGCAGCATGGCCAGGTCATGCAACCCCATGCCAAGCGACTCAGCATTCCTTCCCGTATTCCTTCTAACAACGTCAATCATTAATCTCGACGTGGAAGCTGCATGGGGAGAATTTTACTGGCGAGTCAAACATGGCCGATTCGATGATGGTTTGGATCTTGAACCAAAAATCTTCTGCGAAGGCTTGACTACTCTGGGGAGGAGCTTGGCGAATGGTGCCACTTGATCATTTATTGTTTAAGGTCTCATCATGCCAAGAAACGAGACGAGCCATTAGGGAGGGATCGTCGCATCCAGCGTCGAAGCAGCGTGATGCCTCCCGTCGATCAATCCTTCCAGATCCGACGTTCGGAGTAACCCCCAGACAGAATGTCGGGTACGCACAGTGTAGGAGGTCCGAAGTCCTGGCGTGGAAAACCACGGCCGCATTTGGGTTGGGCCGCGCCGGCTTATGTTAGAAATTGAGGTGCCGAACACCTCTAAGGCACTGTGCAGCTGAGATAGTTGCTGTATTTTCCCACTGCCGACCGGTTGGAAATCCCTCCAGAAAAGACTTGGTCTCCGCGTTCTTTTTGTTTGTTACCTGCGACAACAACCCATGCCTATTCCACCAACAAGTTTGAAAGTATTTTCCGTAGAGCCCCTGTTCATGTACTCTGGATCTGACGTTTGAAGGTGTGTCTGCTGATGATGATAGATGTATCGGGGTAGCCGCAGAATGGTGGGATGGCACTTGGAGTAGACCACGGTTCGTGGTTAGGAGCTCGTTCCTTGGAACCAGCCTCGCGGCTGGGAAGTTTGGTATAGTTCAGGAACCATGGATGAGCCATCACATGGCTGTTTCTGAAGATTGGCTATCTATGGGCCTCACGAGGTCGTACCCAGCCGATCGGGTCAGCTTCTGGCCACGATGGGGGAATCCCGAGCAATTAAGCTTCAAGACCATGGCTGTGGAAAGGTCCGCTCATCCCTGAAGATCACTGCACAACCCGAAATGAGTCAAGGTTGGAGTAAGAGATGTGATGGCGTGTGGAAGGAATGACTTGGAGAAGGAGGAGTTGAGACAGTTGAGTTGACATCGATGTAGTATGAGTAGTTGAGTTGGTTGTGTTGGTTGTGTTGGTGAGACCTTGAAGAGGAAAGAAACCGAGAGACACGGAAAGGTCACTTGACTTGCCTTCTCTTTCCTTTCGCCCACCACCAAATGTCAACTCTGTCAACTCTGTCAACTCCCTTTCTCAATATACCACAGAACACAATCACCAGCATCTACACAATGCAAAGATGCTGATACCTTGGATCATCTCCCACCAACAACCGGTACCAGATTTCTGGGCCGCGATAGCCTTCCACTGGCGGAAGTCTTGAGGTCGAGAAGCTTTGTGTCTACGTATATTCCCTGACTGACAAACTTCGATGGCGTGCGAAAGCGACTAGCCCACAAGCAGTCGGGGGCTGTATAAGCCTTCAATTACTTGGCCCAGCTGCGTTTAGACTCCGTCGCATCATTGGAGAGCGTGCGTTCCAATTATGAAGATCTCTGGCGCAACAGCCCGACTTCCCCGTGCAGATTAGATCGATACTCCGTCCTGCAGGCGATCCTGCACAGAACTTTCGACTCCTTGTCGGGCCCTCTAGCAGACTTCAGGGGATTAGCTGTTCTAGCATGGATCAGCAGTCCTCAGTAAGGAGCTTGTCGCCTGGTCCGCACCAACGGCACCCTTACTTTCGAAGAAGATCCGGTTACAGATTGACCTAAACACTCATTGAGTATGTTTTGGCAATCAAAACTTGGCAATCTTCCTCTCCTCTGGGATTGAGCGTCTTTTCTAGACTTCCTCGCAAATCGGCGGTTGTGCAGCAGCGCAACGGACTCGGAGAATACTAATAAAAATGATTGTGTTAGATGCAGAAGTGGACCCCGCGAACGAAGACCGTGCAGCGTGCAAGCTACGGAGTACTATTCCTGCTAAATCCTGCGCTAGCAGTATGCGAGCTTAGCATTTGGTGTTTTGGTCCCTGTGGTCCACTCACTAACCCGCACTAAGCTTGACCCATTGTCAGATTTTCGGATGCTCCATACCAGATCTTTGTGGCCCCTATCCGGGTCTGCAGTCGGAAGAGGCAAGACGTGTGGATGCTCACGGCCAATTGTGCTGGCAGGATTCAACTAGAAAGCGAAGCGAAAATTAAGGATGCTTCGCGGAGAATTTAGACTGGACGTTGCCATGCATGATAACCCAATTTCTAGCCTGCCAGTCCCTTAGCATCCTCAACAACCTTCTGTCCCAGGATTTAAAGCCTGCGCCTGTCACTTTTCTGAGCCGGCTGGACCCTGGTACCTCTGTCAACCTAGCATTTTGGATCTAGGTACTCTTACACCGGGAGATGAACGATGCCTGCTCTGTCACTACTGTCACACCTGCTGTACAGCAGTGATGCTGGTCGCGCCCATCTTGCAGGTCGGTCGACCCCGCAGGTCGGAATTCTCACGGCCAGCGACAAGGCAGGGTTCATCGCCATGGGTGTTGTCGCTCTCTGTTCTTTTGTTGCATCCTTAGGTCTGCTGTCATTCCTTACCTATCGTTTCATCTTCTGGCGTCAATACTACAAGCGTCCACTGGCACAGAACCAGTACGTTGTCTTAATTTATAATCTCCTCCTGGTCGATCTCCAACAAGCAACGGCATTTTTGTTATGTCTTCACTGGGTTTCCAAAGGCTATGTCTACTATCCAAGTGCACCCTGTGTTCTTCAGGGATGGTGGATTCAGATTGGTGATCCTGGAAGTGGTCTGTTTGTCTTGGCGATCGCCATGCACACGGGTGCCGTGGTTCTGCGAGGTCGACAGTTGCCATTCCCGATCTTTGTCGCCAGTGTCGTGGGCCTTTGGATATTCATCATCATCCTTGGTCTCATTCCCGTTGGCTTGTTTGGCTCCGAGACCTTTGTTATATCCGAAGCAGGCTGGGTAAGTGGTCCTGAAGTTGCTTGGTACACGGTTTCAAAAACTAATCTTTCTGTCACATCTCCAGTGCTGGTTGAGTCCACAACACGAGACGGAGCGACTATGGCTACATTATCTATGGATTTTCCTCGCCGAATTCGGTACAGTCATTCTTTACGGAATCATGTTTTTCTACCTCCGACGCCGTATGCAGGAGGCGGCGTCTCTGCGTCAGAATCACCAAGAAAACTTGAAGCGATTGAACCGGGTGGTCGTTTACATGGTCATTTATCCTTTGGTTTATCTGGTGCTGTCGCTTCCGTTGGCGGCTGGCCGCATGTCAACCGCCCGGCATATTATTCCTAGCCGTGCTTACTTTGCGGTGGCCGGAACCCTGATGGCTCTGTCGGGCTTGGTGGATGTGGCGGTGTATACCTTGACTCGCCGCCACTTGTTGCTGGAAACCGAGCTCAGCGCCTCGGACAGGATGTATGCTTACACGGAGTCGGCGGCATACCAAACACACATCACGACGGGTCACGGCCACAGCGAGACGAAAAAGCCGCGCATGAAGACTCGATTTCGGCGGGGAGGCCTACAGAGCATCAACGACACGGTGGACGACAACCGCGACTCGTCTACCGAAGACATTGTGCGCAAGACGGACATGGAACTGGCTGATCTGGGGCATGGCGTGTACCAGGAGACGACCATCGAAATTTCGCACGAGCCAGCCGAGCCCGAAGATTTTCAGAAGATGAATCGCCACAGCGGGTGATGCCGGTGGAGAATTCAGCCGGATTCCTACTCCACCTGCCATTCATTCCCTAGATTAATTTTTTTTCTTTTTTCTTTTTCTTTTTCTTTTTTCTTTACCCCTTCATCCTCCTGTGTGGATACAGTCACTCTTTCTACTTACTGAGCATATCTCACCCCCTGTCACGATCTTTCTTACTTACGAGAATATCCATGATCACTATACCAATACCTGTATCTATATTCATGTACACCTAGGTTGTCCATTGAGGGCAATTGATAATCACTAATAACTTTCTTCCTGGCGACTTTCTGACGCGGCCTGTCAATGCTGCTTGTTGTGTGATTACGGATACCTACCCCTCCTTTCCGGTTGCACGTTCAATTGTCAACCCCACCGACGGACACTGAAGCGGATACGAAGCCGGCTGCCCTGGATGGCACTGCCCCAACCAATGGGCGGTCTGGAAGCGCAGTCGGCATGAAGATCGACAGGCCGGCCCCACAACGTGGAAGCTTGAGCCGGCGAGAAATATGATTGGTCTCCAGCTCGTCGGCTGCCGCACTAGGCCTACTCTGGTTTTTCCCTCTTCGGCAACTCCCTGCGGCTCCAGCTCCGACTCGCTCAGTCACTTCTCAACGAAACAGGGGCTGGATCGTCACCAGCATCGACTGGCAAATAAAGTTTTCTACCAGCTTCTCGGTTGTTTCCCGCTTATACGAGATGCCTGCTGGTTCTGGTGCTGCTAGTCTCCGGAGCAAAGGATGTCGCAGAGACACGGCAGGAAACCCTTCATCTGTCCGGATACTCGGGTCAAGCGAGACTGCATGATGCATTTGCTAGGCGAAGAGAGGGTCGAGTAGCTACCTAGTCACCGGTAGTTACCTACCTTGATGCCGCAGTCCCTTGCGTATCTAGCGGCCGACACTTGCTAGCATACATCTGAGTTAAAATACATACATCTGCAGCATGAGCTTGGCGACACAACCAAGCACCTGTCTCTCCTCCTGTCGCTGGCGCTGTCATCTCTGCCACTGACTCGCCGCCAACTTACAGCATACCTCTCCTCTGGGCAACCATTCCCAACGTGGTCATCCTTACCGACACGCGTTGCAGGATGCCTGAGCTGGTCGTCGACGGCAGCAGGTTTTCTTCGCGTCTGTCGCCTAAGCGATCCACTTATATGCGCACACACCCTTCCCGGTGGCTGCGCAGCTGGCAAATGACAGCCTGCCTGAATCCCGAGTGCAGCGTCATTTTTGAAGCCGAAGCGATGAGTGGCTGTGGCTGGAGCTACGTCCCGTAACTGTGGATGTGGCTTGGTGGCTGAGGGCGGAACCGTGGATGGTACCCAGTGGGCCAAGACTTCGTGTATAGTCCGTGGTTCCTCGCGTGCTGTGTTAGTAACGGTAACAAGGAGGTGGATATCGAGAGACCACGATGCATGTTCGAGCGTGTTGAGAGGGGGCAGGGCGGTTGGTGATACCTTTGCGTGACTTGGGACTTGGATACAAGCTGTGCGACAGTCATTGGTCGGGTTTCGTCTAGATGGAAGAATGATTCGCAACACTATGGCGATCATAACGACCTGGAGGTGAGCATGGATAAAGTCAGCTCCGTGTGCTTTGATTGGATTCCGTTGGCTGGAGGTGCTCTAGACCCATGTTCCTGCGATGAGATTGGAGGAAGAGCAGCCGGAGTTGTGTATTACTTGCTGTTGGTTGATTTCCATTGTATCTTCCATAGTCTTGCTATTCTGTTCATGAAGGCGCTTGGACGATCCTTCACCGACAAAACTATGGTCTGTTAGTCAGACTAGAACCAATGACACTGAAGTGTGCCTGGACAGGGCATGGCATCATTGTTAGCTATCATGGCTTACATGACAGCCATGGTTCATAGTATAACAGCGTGACATTTTTTGAAGTGAGGACGAGTTTTATAGCTGACAAGGCCATGTTCAAGTATAAGCATGAGGTTCGATAGGTTGACATCTATGCCCTCATTTCTCAAATATTCGTGTCTACTCCGATGCTGATTTCTCGGTTTCCTTCAGTCCTAAAACATGTATATTCCTCCCCAGCCTTGAGACCAATGATACACCCCAGGAGAAGTCAAATATGTCTGACTACATCCAAGCAGTCTAGTTATGCACTTGATAAGGGGCGCTAGATTCCAGAACCCGCTTTCCTCCCCAATTCATATCTACTAATCTGGCCCAATATCAGGTCATGTATATATACGCCCTTCCATGATCAGAATAAAGTCTGAAGTTCTCAGCAAGAAAGAAGATACTATCTTGCCAGATATGAGAAATAAATCTCATACCCACAGCCTACTATCTCACCTACTGGAACTACCTCCAGCCTTGGTCTATTCACTCCATACGGCCATATATATCTCCCGCTGACTCGACATACAACACCATAACTTTTCATTCCAACCTGCAATCAACACTACAACCAAACCGCCATCCAGCATAAAAACAACACTCTCAAATATACAAATACCCCAAGGTACATAATATAGCCAGGTATCCAACACCCGTACCCCCTTCTCCCACGTAGTCAGCTATAACATGGGCATCTCTAAATCCCTTCGACCCCGTCGTCGGCCCCTAAAATTAGCGCCGGCCCTAACCCAGTCTAGCCTACCTCCCTATTTCTGTCTAATATCTACCTAAAGACACCGCCTCACCCTAACGTCTTAGCTTCACGATCCGGCGCTTTTATTTTCATCTCGAGGTTCTCGTTTCCAACAGAGGATTGGAGAATGGGGAGGGAGAAAGACTAGACTAGACTAGCGGAACGGGCGGATGAGGATCCCCGATGCTGATGATCTGAAATTGGAGTTGCGATGTGGTAATTGTTTCCACTTGGGTTGGTCTTGCTTCGATTGAGTCATGTTGTTGGGGACTGACTTACTCATGTAGGGGGGAGGGGGAGTGTGTGCGTGAGATCGGGACAATTGACTGATTAGTGAGGTGGGTTGGGTTTGTTTCTTACGTTGGTAGGGGTGATGTATGCTTATAGTAAATTTGGGTGATGAGGTAGGGTTTGTGATTGATGGTGGTGGTGGTGGTGGTGTTGCTGTGGAAGGTGTATATATGGTTAATTGCACGCGATGTTTGTTGGTTCAGGGGCCCATGGGTAACTGGTCCGTTGGGTTTCATGGATTGTGTCGTCGTCGCGTCTCTCGATTATGTGTTCCGTAAGCTTTGAGAGAAATCCCCAAGCAAAATGTCCATGATTCCATATGGCCTAGACTTTCCTTACTTCTACTCCTCACAACGTGTTTGTTTTGGTCCGAGACGGAGCGGAGACACTCGGGGTTCTGGTCCCCGCTCCCCGAGACTATGATCCACCGGAATGGTCGTGACGTTCTTGCTGCTGGGGGCGTGGGGATGCAGGGTATAACATAAGAAAGTAAGATGTAGATTGTCTGATGTTTAGGATTCATTGTTGTTGTAACGTAAGTTAAACAACTATATCATAGTCAAATAATCTCGAATATGGGATCTTAACGTACGGGGGCACAAGGTTCAATGGTCGGACGATGCCAAGCCAAGGCTGCAGTGGGGGGTTCAGAGGCTCAAAAAAGAGCAGAGCGGGATAGTATTCAGGTCTGTCGTACGGGGCTACCGGTTGTGGATCGGAGGGCTGCTGCTCGTGCTCGTGCTCGTAGCTTTGGTTTGATGGAGGGTGCTTGTTTTACCGCTGTGACCAGATAACTGGTTGGTAAGGTTGGTGTAGCGGCAGGTGAGATGTGCGTTTCTGATTCTTCTATAGTACAAGTCTATCGTCTCATGCCACAACATCCAGCATCTCCTCCACTCGCCCGAACTTGTCGCGGGTCTTCCCCTTCTCCTGGCCGCGCGCGCGCTCGGCGCCGTCAATCCGCTGCCAGTCTTCCCAGCTCGTGGGTCGCAGGCCGCGCTTCTCGGCCTCCGGACGAACGCCCTCCCAGCCGAGGCCGGTGCTCTTGTTCGGACCGTTGAGCGAGATTTGGCCCCTCAAATCGGCAGCAATGGCATCGGCCGTGGTGAACGCATCGGTCATCGTCGTGGCAATGACGCCCGTCGGACCGCGCTTGGCCCAGCCAGCACAGTACAAACCGGGCAGATGGGAGATGATCGAGCCATCGGGAAGCTCCTGACGATCGCCGGTCTCGGTGCGGCTGGTGATCCGCCCGAATCCATCGTTGGGGATCACTCCGCGCTGTGCATCGAATTGGACTCCCAGGTCTTCCATGCCCGGCAGCGCGAGCGACTTGTATCCCACGCTTCGGAAGAATGCGTCCGCGGGAAGGTCAACGGTAGCCCGCTCGCCGGTCGGAAGATATTGAGGGGTCACTTTGGCGCTGGCAAGGAATGGGTCGGACGTGTCCAGTTGGTTGCGAGCGAAGGTGACATGTGAGAGGCGGGCGGGGTTCTCGGGGGATGTATGCAGGGTTTCGGGGGAGAGGAGGAAGTCCAGCGACCATGACTTCTGTGCTGTGGACGGGTCGTTTGTGGAACCCTTGGCGAGGAGCTGGACCAGACGTTTCTGGGCGCGAGGCAGCGCTGACATGACTTCTTCGGGAGGGAATAGATCCTTAGGGACCGGGTCGAACGCTACGGATGGTAGCTGGAGGAGTTCGCGGAGCTCTTTGATGGTGAACGCAGCCTAAAGCCCAACGCGGTAAGTTTCTGTGAAGACACGGCCAAGGGCAGTCAAGCAGGACATACCTGCATTGGTCCTCGACGACCCACAACGCGGACCCTTTTGATTTTGCTTTTGAGCAGCTCCTCTACCGCATACTCCGCGATGTCCGTCTTGCGCAATACATCAATATCCGACAGCAAGATCCGGGCCACGTCCAGAGCCACGTTGCCTTGTCCTACAATGACAGCATTCTCCCCAGTGGCCAAGTCTGGAGCCAGATCCCGATGCTCAGGAAGGCCATTATACCAGCCGACAAACTCCCGCGCCGAGTAGACGTTCCGAGCGGCTTTCTCGCCCGGGATGCCGAGCTCTTTGTCTTTGGGTGCGCCGTATGCGAAAAGGATGGCATCGTAGTGGGGCTTGAGCGTACTCAGAGGGAGAGACGCGCCTAGTTCGACATTGCCAATGAAGTTGAATCGCGGGGATGTGGCGACCTCGGTAAATTTATCTTCGCAGTTCTGAATTGGACGGATGGTATGTAAGTCATGGTTTTGAGCGATGCTCGGTCGCAATGTCGGAACGTACCTTGACCTCGGGATGATCAGGGGCAACACCATATCGGGCCAGACCAAATGGGACGGGCAGCTTCTCGTACATATCAACGACTGCTTCGTCCACCTTGGCGAGCAAGCGATAGGCAGCATAGAAGCCGGCCGGACCCGAGCCTATGACGGCGACACGAAAGGGTCTCTCATGCTGTACCACTTCGCTGTATCGACGAGTTTGTTTGACGAAGTGAGCTTGCCGAGGTCGTGTCAAGCCGCGCCACGAGGAGCGAGTGATCTGCGCGGTGCATTGAGCGCAGACATAAGGGGCACGTTGGAGATGCATCGTGGCTGAGGGGGGAGAAAATGAATCACTCACTCAACCACGGGCAAGCCACTTGCAGGGTCCGATGACATCGTATCACGTGATAGCTCTATCACATCCGTTGCCGGGCCGACAATCGGGCGTGTTGTTGACGATCGGGTCGCAAACCATGGAAATGAAGGAACCTGAAAGATGGTGGATGATGGTTGGAGTGATTAGTTGACTGATGGATGATGACAGACGCAGCCTGCTTGCTTTGCTGCAGGTGCCAGCCCTGCAGGTGCTTCCCCTCCCCTCCACTTCCCATCGCTTTCTCCTCTTCCATTCCTCCTCCTCTTCGTTCCACGGTTCCTGCATTCTCCCTCCCGCTGTCATTACTGTCGTTCACTTCCTATTCCTCCCCTCGTGAACCTCTTTCTGGTGGTTGCGACGGGTTTTCTTTCTTTCTTTTTAAGCTTATCACACACAGCATTCCCACATTCCACATTCCTCTCAATCTCTGCTCTCCACCCCGCCTATCGCGTGGGTCAATGCTCTAGTCCTTAGTTCGCGGCGTCGTCGTCATCCATCGCGAACATGGGCGAGTCCGACCCTCCATATTTGTATGATCGCCCCATCCGCCAGCATACAGCTTCGCCACGGTTCTACAGCCAAACCTTCAATCCCAAGGCCGTGACGGAAGCAAGCTGGGCTCAACCGGAGCCGAGAGCGGAAGTCAAAGGTCCTTTGGTTGATCTCAATCGGCACCCGGACTCGGTAAGCATCACCACTACCGATCGTCGGCGTCGTTTGTTTATTCGTGCTCATGATTTCTAGTACTACAATGTTCCCGATCGGACGCGATGGACTCCAATGAGCCTCCACACAAAGAGTAGAGTAATTTACGGAAGAAAGGTGCAACTGGGACTGCGAGTTCTCGCCTTGATCGGTGCGCTGGGATCGTTGTTCTGCTCAATTGTCATCAAGAATGCAGCAAACACCATCATCTGGATCGTGCGAGTGGGGGTAAGTGCTGCACTAGACCACGAGGAGTAGATATGTACTGATCGCGCTCTAGCCCGCTGTGGCGATTTTGCACAACATATACAGTATCTGGCATTTGAGTCGATCTGCGATCAGCAGGCCCCCTGGCTCCCAGGCCAGCTACATGCTGTTCGCTGGAACTCTAGATCTGGGATTAGTTCCGTTCTACGTCTTTTCGGCATTTCTGGGCTACAGGCAGTGGACTGATACCGCCTGGAACTGGACCACGATGCTGAGTTCTGAGTTTGATGTGACAGCCAAGATCGCCGAGTCCACGTTTCTGCTGAGTGTTGTCAACGGAGGGTTGCATGCTCTATCCCTCGGGATCTGCATCTTCTTGGGGATAATCTTCCGCCAGATCCACCGTTTGCCTCCGGACATGAACCCACTGGAAGACAATCTCACTGCGCGCCCAATGAGTCGCAGCAGACAGAGTATCAAAGAGAAGCATGCTAGTTTGTCCACTCTGGATACCGACGTTGGCTCAAGTGAAGATCCATTGATCGATGCTCGCAAAATGCCATTCGTCCACACCCGCGAGAACTCGTACCTCGATGGCTTGAGTCGCTATCCTCCCAGTGTTTCCGATAAGAGACATTCTCAATATTCGCAGTCCAATCAGCGCATGTCGCGGGCCGAGTCGATCCCTCAGCTGCCATTCCAGCAGCCTAATGATATTCCGGACGATATCACTATCAACTCGCCAATCGAGAATCCCGATATTTTCAATCGACCAACCACAACAATCTCACATGGCTCCCCAGTCCGCAAGCCGTCGCCTGCTATGCCTCCCCGGTCTCAATGCGCGAGTCCTGCTTCAGATAACTGGATCGTGTACCCATCTCGCTCTGGGACCCCCGTTGAGGCAAAGACTCAGCATCCAGACCCTCGTGAACCATCCTCCGCATACAGTGCCGCCGAGACACTGACGTCGGCCAAGAATGGGGTCATGGATTGGTTCAACGGCTCGCATCGACAAGATCGGCCCGTTGGACAAGCCATCACAGAAGACGTTCGCGGCGAATATGAGTCGATTGCAGCCAACGAGTTCTACAGCCACAACAATGACGACGACGTTCACGATTTCCTGTACCGTACTGGCTTTTATGACAACGCTGAACAAGACATCGGCGACAACCGGATCGACATTTTCCAAGACAGCGACCATGAACACGAATACCTTGACGAAGAAACTCGGAACTCACTGCGCGTCAATCCCCTTGCCTTGAATCCTCCGACCCCGCAGCCCAGAATCAACGGCATCCGCAGCGTCACCCGCTCGCCAAGCAACAGCAGCGGCCGTATGGCTTTGACCGATATTCCAAACCTATCACCTAACCCGCAACAACCTTCAGAGGCAATCTCTACCGACCCAAGCCCGAAGAAGAGCAAGACCTTCTACGGAGACGTATCTCTGGCAGGCGGAGGCAACGACAGTGGTAGTACCAACATGACGCGAAAGGCCAGTCTGGGACAAAAGCTCGGCAAGTTCACCATGAATCGGAACCAGAAGCGCAGCGCCTACGGTGCACTCAAGCAGCACGATGAGGACGACAACGACTACCTGCAAGCCGACCCCGTTACTCTGGCTGGCGATCGCAAGGGTCGCGTGGTCAGCAACTCCGGCGCGGACTTTGGTCGAATGGCCACGGAGTCGCATCCCGCTGCGACTGCCAACTCTGCCTCGTCGATGTCCTATGGGAACTACCTTGCCGGTTTAGGCGTCGTTGGGGTCGGAAGACGTCGCGACGTCAGCGGGAAGATCGCGGAGGAAGGCCGGGCGGAGACGAGCAAGAAGCCGGGATTGGAGAGCAGTAGTCCCGCGCGCGGTGACGAGAATGCCAAGCCTGTGCGTGCGGCCGGATGGGCGCGGTTCGCTGGGCTGTAGGCTCGGTGTTGTGGGGGATTGTATCCTGTGACGTGATGTGGTTTGTAATTATTTGTGCTTACGGGAGGGTTTCCTTGTGATATTTTTCTTCATGACTCGACGGGTTGTTGATTTGGATGGATTATGACGATCTATGTGGATTATGATTGGTTGATTTGATTTGCTTTGATGGATGGGAATTCCCGCTTGGCTGTGATACTCCGTTAGGTACCCCTTGTGTTGCGTATTGTAAGTAGTGTACAGACGTCCATACTAGCTGGATTACAGCAGGAACAAAAATGGAATGGAAGAACATATCGATGAGATATCTGGAACATTTGTAATACACATATGTACAGCTGGGTACTCCAGCAATGAAAGTTGTACAAAAAGAAAGATAAAGCAACAAATAAGTACATGGTACCTAAAGGCTGAAGAAAATATTAAAAGATGTGTCGAATACATCCCCTTCTAGATTTTAGGGGGAGCAATGGAGCATCTCAAGAAGGAACGCCTTCATACTCCCACCCCTTGATGACGCGCTTATTCCGGCGGGAATTGCGGCGGTTCGCGTTACATTTCACGAACAGGGTCAAGGCGGCGATGATGCAGATGACGATGCCGGCGATGGCGGCCACGAGCACGGTGCGGCGCTCCAGCTCGCCGGGGTCGGCCGCGTACGGACACCCCGCGTCGGGCCCGCCCGTCACCCAGCACGAGGTGACGTCGAGGGAGTTGAGATCCAGCCAGACTTCTGTTTTGGTGGTGGCCGTGGCCGCGGGGTCGAGGACGTCGGACTGCGTGAGGAGGTAGTGGTACAGGAAGGAGTTCTCGACGCCGGTGCGCGGGACGGAGAGCGAGGTGTTGGGCGGGCAGGCGTGGTCGTAGGCGTCGGCGAAGGAGTGCGCCGTCGCGGACAGGCGCCAGGTGAACGGGGCGGTGCCGAGGCGGCAGGCGGCGTGGCGCGTGAGGCTGCAGTTGACAGCGCGCCAGTGTCCTGCTAGGGTGAGGTCCATGACGGCGCAGTGGTTGTTTGTGGAGGTGTCTGAGTCGGAGTCTGAGGATGATGTTGAGGTGTCGGCGGGTTGGTGGATGGACCAGGCCCACGAGGTGGCCATGGAGAGCTGCTCGTAGGGGGTGATGGTGTCTGCGGCGGTGGTGTTGAAGAGCGTGTCGTTCAGCGATGGGGTCAGGCCGCACGCCGTTAGGTTGACCGAGACCGCCGACATCTCCTGGATGGTGGCATTGCGCGACTGTCCGGTCGGGATCGGGATGTAGTCGGAGATCGCCCAGGAGGAGTTGGCGTCCGCGATACCGGCGGCGCCCGGCACGTAGTAGCAGGTCGAGTCGAGCTGGCCCGCCGCGTCGACGGATATGGAGATCGTCGAGGACAGGTAGTGCGCCGGGAAGATCAGGCTGTGCGCCGCGGACAGGTCGTACCCCTGCAGCTGCGGGTCGACGGTGCCGTATTCCACTAGCAGCCGCTTCTCGCGCGCCAGCTGCACGAACTTCCCGCACGGCCACCCGTCCGGCGTGCTCTGGATGCCCTTGGCGTCCGAGTCCACGGTGAAGTAGTCCGCGATCGGCTTGTAGCTGTCGTCCACCTCGTACCAGGATTCGTTGAGGTTGGCGCGCTCCGAGGCGAGCTCCGACGGGGTGTAGACGTACGAGGAGAGCTGGTGGTCGAAGATGGAGTTGAGCGTGTCCGAGCCCGTCGGCAGTTGGCCGCCGGTCAGCTCCGAGGCGGCTTCGTCCGGGTGCGCGGCGCTGGCGGCGGCGTGCAGGTTGAATGTGACGAAGCGGATGTATGCGGTCAGCTCGGTGCTGGTGCGCTGGAACAGGCCCCGGAGCACGTCGATCAGCCCGTCGAGGTCGACCTTGGTGGTGCACCGGTAGGAGCCGAGCTCGTAGAGCAGCGACCCCGAGGAACTAGCCGTCGCGGTGACGGTCGCCTGCGCGGCATTAATCGCGGTCGCAGTCGCGGTCGCGGTCTCAGTCGCGGTGCCGGAGACACTGACGACCGTCGCGTCCTGGGGTATTGAGACTGGGCAAAGCAGCCATTTGCGTTCGTCGGGGGACCAGTACAGGTCCACGATTAGGCGACGATATCCGACCGTGAGTAGGTTCGAGATGCATCGCCCCGCCGCATCTTCGTCATAGATATTGTTGCTGAAGCATGCTGCGCGCAGGGAGACGGATGAGGTGGTGACAAAATTCAGCGGGATCTGGCCGGCGACGTCTCTTTCGCTCTATGCGACATTAGTGGTATGATTCAACGTAAGGTGGAGTTTGTCGCAAACTCACCAGGAAGACAGCCGACTGCGTCGCATTGAGAATGATATCGGGATCGAACTTCATTGATGCGTGACTATAGGCCGCGGACAGCGGAGAGGCTGATTGCGCGATGGAAAAGTCGGCATGACCGTTGGATTTGGAGCTACATGCGACAAAGCATGAGTTGATGATGCAGCAGTGGAGAAGGGAAGATGAAGCAGCACGGAAGAGGGGAGGAGGAAAAGCTCCGGCCGGCCGAGTGCGGAGAAGAAGGCGGTGGGTGACTTTGAGCCCGGCCCAAACACCATCTGGCCTCTTCTTTCTTTGCTTTGCTCTGCTTCCACCTCACCTCACCTCACTTCACAACTCAACTTATCTCACCCCACCCTTTCTACCAGCCCAATTCCTCCTCGCCTTTCTGCGTGCTCTTTTCAAATCTTGAATACACCCAGGGGTTTTATTGCCAACGTCGCGTGAAATTTTCTGTTATCAGCTAGCTCGATCTACACATCCATCACTCATTATGGCGGCGCCCGGTGGGCCATCTCCCCAGCAGATCGCGGCCATGCAGCAGCAGTTCGCTGCTGAAGCTGCCAGACGCGGAATGACTCCGGAACAGTTTGCCCAGCAGCAGCGTGAACAACTCGCCGCAGAGGCCGCTAAGCACAACATGAGCACCGAACAATATGTCGCGCAGCTTCGCGCGCGCGCCATCGCCGCACACCAGCAACAGATCGCTCAGGCTCAGGCTCAAGCCCGGGCCCAGGCCCAAGCACAAGCCCAGGGAGCTCAACCGCCTAGCCAGCCCGGTCAGCCCGGCCAGCCCGGCCAGAACCTGCCAGCACCTCAACAACCCCAGCCCCAGCAGACGACTCGTCAAGTTCCCGTCAACCCGTCCAATCCTCCCGATCCAAAGGCGATCGCGGTGGCGCAGTTCCTGCAGTCGCAGAACCTCAAGACGCGGACTTGTATCATGGACGGTCAACGGAAGGAGATGTTCAAAGGTTCGATAATGTGGTAGCTCGTTCGATAACAGCGGCGCTGATACAGTTTTATAGTGAAACGCGCGATCCGCGCCCTTGAGTCCCCCGCCTATGCTAAAGCCGCCGCCAAGAAGAACTCCCTCCTCCCGCCGGTGACCGACCGTGCTTCCGCCGAGAACGTCTTTAAGCTTCTGCCCCTGTCCCTTCTGGCTCTCCGAGTCTCCAAGGTCGATCCCCACGCGGGACACAACCACGCCAAACCCAAGAACCGTGTCAAGGGACTGTGGACGGTCAAGATCGAGCAGCACCAGGAGACCAACCCGATGATGCACTATGTTTGGCTGTACGAGGGACCTCAATTGAAGCAGAAGTTGATGGCGGGTGCCGTTGTGGCGGGTATCTTCGCCGTCGTGTTGTTCCCTCTATGGCCCATGATGCTGCGACAGGGAGTCTGGTACTTGAGTGTCGGCATGATGGGTTTGCTGGGATTGTTCTTCGCTATGTCGATTTTCCGTCTCATCTTGTTCTGCATTACTGTCTTCGCGGTGCCGCCTGGTCTCTGGCTCTTCCCGAACTTGTTTGAAGATGTTGGGTTCGTAGACAGTTTCAAGCCCTTGTGGGGCTGGCAAGAGGTATGTGTATCTTCTTCTCCTGGCCTGGGACAATGCTGATCAACCTGACAGAATAAGAAGAAGAAGAAGTCGAAGTCGAAGAAGGCTGTGGCTGGTGAGGCCACGGAACCTGCTACCGAAGCCGCCACCGACGCAGCTCCGGCAGCATCCACGACAGCAACTGAAGCACCCGATACTTCCAGCACTTTCAAGCGCGATTTGGCGCCTCGAGTGGAGGAGGTTGGCGACGAGTAAAGGGGCTGCTGGGTTGGTTGCGGATTTGCCTTGTACTGTCTGGCACTGTTTCAATGGCACGGTTGGGTTAGGTATCATATCTCTTCGGTTTTCGCGTTTCGATGCTTCCGGGTTTACTTATATGTGGGCATAAAACGAACTTGGACTTGGGCTTGCAATTGAAAATTATCATTACTTTCCTTTCATGAACCGCTCCGGAGTTTAGAGTTTAATTTATGTATTCTTCATGAATTTGTTCCTTTCCTGTTGCGTTGCAGCAAAACCGACAACAGACAAACGGACTTGTCTAACCCCTTACCAAACTATGATCTGCCCACTAACGTAACTCCTCCTTCCTTTCAGCAGACAGCCGTTGCGTTTGAGCCTCGTTTGCGAGTCTGTCCATTACACATCCCGCTCGACTATTGTCTGTTCTATCTTTCGGCTGGACACTGCCTTGGATATCAAAAGTGTCATGACAATCTAGAACTCAGTCGTTGTCGCATACCCACAAGTCTGCGGGGTAGTGAGTTTCTATCAAATACATTGAATATTCACAAAGCCGCTTCTGCGGACCGTCATTCACTCTTCTCTGTTCCAGCTTCGCTAACATTACCTTCTCTTCCCTTTTTTTATGCTTAGCCAAACCTCTTTTGGATAATCCCTCTTCCTTGAGACGGCAAGAGAAGATTTCGAGAACTATCTCTACGCGCTCACTTGTTTAACGTCAATACAATCCCACCAGCGTGCCTCCGGCCTTTCATATCCTGCAACCAAACTGGTACATCTATCCACCGACTGTTGATGACGGAATTTTCAACAATCATATCATCGATGTTGTCTGATCATACATCTGCGGCTCAGTGATCATGGCTCCAGGGTCAGTTGTCTCCCACATTTCCTCATGTCTTCTGAATTGACGGCGTTATCTCATCTAGGGTATGTTACGAGTTTGCGAACAAGGGACACTGCAACAGAAAGAACTGCAGATTCGCCCACGTGCAAAACGACCAAGCGAGTCCCTCTCCTAGATTAGCATCTCATCACAGATCATCATATGCTCGCCTATCGAACTCAGAGAGAGACTTTCGAGCATGGAAAAGAAACGTTGATGCCATTAGCACTGCCTCTCAGTTGGGGCCCGTCTTCCGAGAGGCACGGCGACTCATCGACATTGATGTTGGCATGCGGCAGTCCGTCATACAAACACTTGGTACTGAGAGTGGTTCGAGATGTATCAAGAAAATGCTTGAACAGACCTTCGAAGGCCTGGACGGCTCCAGACAGGAACAACTTCTCAGAGCTCAGGTCATCCCATTCTTCGAAGTAATTTCCCACCCAGAGGTCCTACCGTCTCCCGTCCTCGAGCAAGCGGTCGGAACCATCTACAACTTTCTATATGGCATAGGGGGTGTCAGTGCATCACAACTCTTTGCCTACATCTCAGACGTCTTGAAAGATCGTGTAAAAGATGAGATCACCGCATCCTGGTTGGAGGTTACTCTTTTGGTCTTCTCTCAGATGGTCGAGCTCAAATCGGAGGCCCTCGTTCAAGAATCCCTCAGAACTGTTGCCAAAGGATTTGAGGAGATCTTTCTCCCCTGGACGAGCAGTCATACGGAGACCTCTTTACACCACCAATCTCAAGTGCACCTAGAACGCCTCCTGAGACGTTTTAATATTGGTAGCTCCCTTCCGAGCATTGGCCAAGATAATTCTCGAAATGCCGTCGGAAATTATGAACCCTCTGTCAGTAAGTGCGACCCACCTGGGGGCCGCCATGACAATGATCATGCAGATATTTGTCGGATTTGCATCATGCCAAGTTACCAAGAGATCCTGAGTACACGAAACGAGTATCTTCCCCTGTACGATCCTTCACAGTGGCATCTACATGGTCTTGAGGGGCTATTAGATCGCAACTTTCGTTTGTTGCGGGAAGATACCATCGGTCTTCTCCGTGATGCCATCCATTCGGAAATCAAGCTTTCAGGACAATCCCAGAAAAATAAGAGTCAACAGCGTACAAACGTGTACCACGGGGTGAGAATCCTCAAGATTGACTTTGACTCGATGGCCGGTGTTCAATTCGAGGTTAGCTTTCGTCAGCCTGCCAATGTCGCTCCAACGTCGGCTACGAAGCGCGAAGAATGGTGGAAAATGTCTAAACGCTTGCAGCCAGGTGCTTTGGTATGCCTCATAACTAAATCGAACTTTGTGCTTTTCTGTACCATCGTTCAACAACAGCCAGAGAACATGTCACAAGGACACGGCGCTAGAAACCAGCGACAAGAGAAAAATCATTTGTGCTCTCTATCGGAACATCCTCAAGTTGCACGCATTACGGTGGAGCTGACCGATTGGAGAAACAAGAATATCCAGAGACTTATTAGACAATACACACAGCAAGAACCGTGCTCCGCTCTGGTGGAGTTTCCCGGTGTCCTTCTCCCAGCTTTTGAGCCGACTCTACGAGCACTCCAGACATTAAAGCAGACCGCGAACTTGCCCCTGTCTGAACTGGTCATTCCTCCTCGTCCTAGTACCTCCGAGCCCAATACAGTCTCTCCTCCGCGCTATGTCCTAAACCCGGGGTTCCGATTCAATCTCCGATGTTTGACAAATGAAGATAGGGATCTGTATGTCTATCCCGATCAGCCAGCCGACCTACGAGCTCTGCGTCAGCATTCCAGCCTCGACGATGCACAGGCGACTGCCCTTGTCGATGCTCTTCAACGAAGACTTGGATTGATTCAAGGACCACCCGGAACCGGTAAGAGCTATACAGGTGTTGCTATTATCAAGGTCCTTCTTGCAAATAAGGGCCCTGGTATGGCAGACTTAGGACCGATCTTATGCGTAACATACACCAACCATTCTCTTGACCAACTCTTGGGTTCCCTACTGCAAAGCGAAGTCACCAAGCAAATCGTTCGAATCGGTTCGCGGTCCAGATCTGAATGTATGGAGCCCTTTCAACTACGCACGCACGCGAGAAAGTTTGACAAGACGAAATTTGCAAAGAGCAGTCAATGGGAGTCTCATCGCTCTCTGGAAGAGTGTGCTCGTGAGTTTAAGAGCATAGACCTGACGCAGAGAATCACACCTGCTCGACTAATGCATCATTTGCGCGATCACCATACGGATCATTATAACCAGCTTTTCGGCACAGATGAAGACAGCTTCAAATACCGAGAGAGCAAGAACAGCAAGGTCTTCAATCGTTGGCGCTTTTCCGGTGGGAAAGCCGACGCCAATCATGTTCGAAAGGTCGAAGATTTGATTTCGGTCAACCTTACGCAGATGTCACATTTCGAACGAGAAGCTCTGTACCGACATTGGCAGATGGAGATACGGAACGAGATGGAAGAGAAATTGATAAATATTTGCGAGTCACATAACACTACCAGACGTGAGCTTGATAACATTCGCAACGAAGTTGATCTGCGATGTCTCGCTCAAGCTGATATTGTTGGCGTTACGACGAGTGGTTTGGCACGGAATCTTGACATGCTTCGGAGGATGAAGTCCAAGGTTGTGCTGTGCGAAGAGGCAGGAGAGGTTCTTGAAGCCCATGTGCTTACCACTCTTTTGCCATCGGTCGAACATGCAATTCTCATTGGGGATCATCTCCAGTTCCGGCCCCAAGTACAGAATCATGAATTATCGCGCGAGAACAAGAATGGTGGTGAAAAGTACGCATTGGATGTATCTCTCTTCGAACGCCTTGTCGATGCAGAGAGCCCTATGGGTGCCAATCTGCCATTCAGTACTTTGAATACGCAGCGGCGTATGCATCCATCCATTGCTCAGCTTGTACGTGGCACATTATATCCACAGCTCCAGGACGCAACATCTGTGAGTGCATACCCTGGCGTTGCTGGGCTTCGAAAGCGATTATTCTGGTTAGATCACCGTGTACCAGAGGCAGACCCGTCAATTGAGGATGCAACAGCCACATCAAAATGGAACGACTATGAAGTTGAGATGACTACAGCCCTTGTCAGTCACTTTTTACGGCAGGGAAAGTACAGGAAGGGTGGTATTGCTGTTATCACACCTTACCTTGGTCAGCTTCACAAACTACGACGCAGACTCGGCCAGTTGTACACAATCGCTCTGGGGGACCGTGATGAGGATGACCTCAATAAGGCTGGCTTTGACGATGATTTGACTCCAGACTGCACTGGAGTAAGATCAACTCTGCTGCAGAGCGTGCGGGTTGCTACAATCGATAATTTCCAGGGCGAGGAGGCTAACGTGGTGGTCATCTCACTGGTTCGCAGCAATCCGAAGAACAATTGTGGCTTTCTCCGGACGCCGAATCGAATCAATGTCCTTCTTTCTCGAGCTAAGCATGGCATGTATATCATTGGCAACTCGATGACGTCGATGCATGTTCCCATGTGGGCTGATGTCCTTGAGATGCTCGAGCAGAACGGAAACATTGGCACCAGATTAGAGCTACAGTGCCCACGGCACCCGGACAGTGAGATAACCGTCTGCGAACCAAACGACTTCCCACGTCTCTCCCCCGAAGGAGGGTGCAATTTTCGATGTGAGAGGCGTATGTTATGTGGTCATGCATGTGTGCAAAAGTGCCATTCCGAAATTCTACACAATGCGGTGTATTGCCTAGAACCTTGTCAGAGACCACTTCTGGGATGCTCTCACCCCTGTCCAAACAAGTGCGGCGATCAATGCCCAACCAAATGCATGATGAATGTCTTCCAGGAGGATAGGCAGCTTGATTGTGGTCATTTGGCGCCTAATCTTCCATGCTGGCAGAGTCAGGACTTGTCAACCGTCCGGTGCGCTGTCTTGGTCAAGAGAACCGTTCCGGGCTGCAGACATGATGTTACCGTGGCATGCCATATTGATGTGACCTCTCCACATTGCAGATGTACTGCTCAATGTCGGGCACCGTTAGCCTGTGGTCATTCGTGTAAGCATTCATGTGTCAAGTGTGTCACCAGAAGTGATACGGGCGAAACTCAGACCGATCATGGTCGTTGCCAGCAGATATGTGGCAGAAACCACTCTACTTGCGCTCATCAGTGCGAGACGCCATGTCATGGTTCAGCAGCGTGCCCACCCTGTCAATCAGCCTGTGATGTACGCTGTGGTCATTCCAGATGCGACAAGAAATGCTCGGATCCATGCACTCCTTGCGCCGTAGAGATCTGCCTGTCATCCTGCTCTCACAGTTATTGCACAATGCCCTGTGCTGCTCCATGCGATCATGTCCCATGTTCGAAGAGGTGTGATCAATTGCTAGCGTGTGGACATCAATGCCCGTCCGTCTGCGGGGAGATTTGCCCACCTGCGCGATATTGTCAAATATGTGGGGGCGATGAAATTAAGAATCACATGGTTGACTTTATCCTTGGGGAGACCTACCGGGACATCAACCTTGATGAGAACCCATGTGTCTTTCCGCGATGTGGTCACTTCTTGACAATTGAAAATATGGATGCACAGATGGACATGAAGAAGTATTACATCCTTGACGCAATAAAGAAGCCAATTGGGATTGCCGCATCAGTGGCGCCGTTCGCCATGGACGACATCAAGACGTGTGCCAGCTGCCGTGGGCCCCTGAGAGATATCGCCCGGTACGGACGGTTGGTGCGCCGTGCTCTCCTGGATGAATCGACAAAAAGGTTAATATTGTACATGAATCGCGAATTCGTCCCCCTAGCGCAGGCACTCCCTCGATGCATACGACAGCTCCAGGAATTGACAAATGAACGACCTATTGCCTGGCCGGCTACTGTGAAGATTGCGGGCAAGTACGAAGGGCAGATTACTGCGATGCGGGACATGCTTTCTCGAGCAGACAAGGGACGATGGCAGAATATTCTTGGTCTACGGCAGCGAATCAAGAGTTATATGAGGAAAGTGACGCCCGAAGAGCAGCCATACAGCAAAGTACGCAACCTGGTTGCCATCGGTCGTCGTCGAAAGGAAACTGCTGAGTGCCTTGAGCCTGGAAACGACATCCTCCAGATGAAGGGGTCAGTTCAAGCCACCGCGCTCAGTTTGCGTCTGGATATTGCCTTGCTGGCTGACTTTCTGAAGCTTTATCGCGAGGCCCCCAAACAGGCCGATAGTGTGATTGAGATGGATCTATCAAAGAATCGCGGCCAATGCAAAGCTCTCGTGGAGACAGCGGGACTCTCAAATCACGTTGTTCATCAGACGGAGGGCTATATCTTCCTCGCCCAGCTCCATGCGTTCGAGCGATCGTATGCAGCCTCGGCTGAGCTGGTCGATCAACACGTGGCCCATGCCCAGGAAGCCCTCGATCACGCCAAAACCCTCTGCACCTCCTGGCCTGGTCAGACCCGTGGCTTGATGGACGAAGTCGAAGGGGTGGAGAAGATGCTTCGCGGAGCGACGTTCTACACCCCCGTGACCAACGAAGAACGCATGGCGGTCATTGCTGCCATGGAGCAGGAGTTCCGGGGCACGGGGCATTGGTACTACTGTCGCAACGGCCATCCCTTTACAATTGGGGAGTGTGGCATGGCGATGCAGAGGTCCGTCTGTCCGGAATGTGGAGAGCCCGTCGGTGGACAGAACCATACCGCTGCCGAGGGCGTGACGCATGCGAGGGACTTGGAGGAGAATTTTGCGCGGCTGAGTTTGGAATAAGTTTCTGTCTTGCTGTGGTTTGTGATTCAGTTCTTGGATCGCGAGATTTGAACATATCTAGTGCTTTGACTTTGTATGACATTTTGCTTAGCCGAGCTAGCTGGTTATCAAATGAAACTCCCCCCTTGAAATTAAACCTCACAAGTCCTCCAAACCCACAACCTCCCAAACCGACAACTCCCCCGACAACAATCGGCATCGCGCCAGCAACCCTCCCCTTCCTCGTTACACGCCCTCGGCTCCCCGCAGACCAACTCCCCATTCACCCCACAATTCCCCGACACACAATCCGCGTCGCCCGCACACGCCGCCCCATACGCCCCCGGCCCCGGCGCCGCCTGGCACATCTTCGTGCTTCGATCCTCACTGAACAGACTGTAGGTGCACACCAGCCCAGCCACACACTCTTGCGTCTGCTGACAACCAGCCCCGTACTCCCCCCCGGGTCGCGCACAGATCCCCGCCGCACACAGCCCGAACCCGCACTGCGCGTCGACCAGACACGCGGCCCCGAGCCCCAGGACGCCGGGGAGACAGGTGTTCGTCTGTGGAGCACATACCCATCGCTGCTGTCCGCTGTCGGTGCCAGGACTGCAGTCCGAGACAGCCGTGCAGGGTTTACCCGTCTGGCTCAGCGCACAGCTTCCCGTCTGGCAGTAGCTGGTGCTGCATTCGGTGTCGGCGGCGCAGCATGTCCCTGCGACTAAGCGCTGGAGGCATCGGTTGGCCGGGTGGACGCAGAATTCGTTGGGCTGGCAGGTCGCGTCGGTGGTGCAGGGCGCTCGCGTCAGGAGGTACTCTGCGGTTGGGTCGGGGGGTGGTGTGCAGGCTTGCGCTTGTGGGAGGTGCATTGTTGTGATGGTGAGGAGGAGGGGGAGGAGGGGGAGGAGGGTCGTTGTGGTTGTTGGGATTGGGAGGCGCATTTTTGGGGGTAGGAGGGGTTAGGGGGCGGTAATTCTTGGGAGGTTGTAGGGGAGGTGTTGAGGGAGTTGGTGGGCTTTATGGGTTTGTTGTAGAGTATGCAGAAGCTATGACTCGAGTAAGTTAAGTTACGGGGTATGAGGCTAGTAGTTTGTATCGGGGTTGGTGTGCGATGATCGGCAACTTTATTGATTTCCCTGCATGATGCGATGCTTGAGGGGCCGGTTGATGTAAGGGGTTGGTTGGTAAGGAGTACCGGTAGAAGGGGACTGGACTGGACTGGACTGGACTGGTCATAGGGGTGATTCCTGCTTGAGGTGGTTATAAACTTGGGGATCGAATTGTACCTTAAGTTACCTACTGTACTCCGTAGCGTTAACTACCTGTCAGGGTCAGAGATTCGAGGATAGGAGGGGCAGGGCTACTGGCTGGGTTTATCGGTGGGCTGGCTCTTCTGTTGCTTTGCAGGTAATTGTGGTTCCTGCTTTGACTGCGAGGTTTATCTATCGCCGCGACTGATCTGAACCAGGGGCCGATTCAAGTACAATTTGTACCTCTAGATTCCGTGGTGCGTGGTATACTTGAATGGCAACCTCTAATTTGCATGTGCTTTGCACACCTTGAAGGCAGGTTGGAATTCGACTACATGGCCAGAAATCGGACGGTGTGTGTACATGTAACATTAGGGTCAACGCTGCCGTAAGGATTTCCCCCGCAGCACGCGACTGAAATTTCATTTCAGATAAAGCTTACTGAGCCACTTGCGTGCGCCAGTTTTCGGACTCTTGGAGATTTGAGTTAGATAGTTTAGATTTTGCTTCTAGTGTAAAATACACCAGCAAGCTCTTTGTCCCAGGGAACAACAACTCCCGTGTCATCCTCGGGTCCGATAACCCTAATAGGGACGTACAGTAGACTGGAAATATCTTCGCCCCGGTAACTGCATGCTCACGAAGGCAGCCAGGCTCGAATGCATCAAAGGGCAGACGGGGGCGTCTTGATGATGGCAAAGGTTAATAATGGATAGAACGAAAAAAACAGACCAACAGAGACTTTAAATATTGTGCACTGCCGCCTCAAATGTTCGTCTTCATTGGCGAGGCTGTGCAGGATCTCAAGCACCATAGAACATGAGATTTCAGTCACAGTCACCGTGTTCTCCAGAGGCTAGGCCACGACCTTGTCCCTTTGCACAAGCAACACCATGCCTCTGGTAGTGGAATGCCGTGTCAGCTATATCAAGAGATAACCTCCCATCGAGGATGAGACGATAGCAGGGCCACAATGTGTGACTTCTGGATGCGACTCTCATCAAAGGAGGGCAGGGCGGCCAGCTCACGGTATTTGAATGGACGGAACGCTGTGGCGGCTACTGTGGTGACTGAAGGCTAGGGTTGACCCGCAGCTGCAAGTAAGTGTACTTGCTCAGGATCTTGATATCATCAATCAGCATGATGATGCACTTGGTGAAGTCCAGATTCTTCCCAGTCAGCTGCGGGTGAGGGTACTGCTTAGTGTTGCCCTGCAGCAGTTCCTGATGTGCTTTTTAGTTGTTCTTCATCTGCTTGTCTGTGCTGTAAAACAGCTCTTTATTCCTGGAAATGCAAGACCCGGCAGAGGGTGTTGTCGTACTGCAAACACACTCCCGGGTTTGTCCTCCTTGGGCGCGGACCTTGAAATGAGCCAGCAGCCAGGTCTGCGCCTAGATCCGCTTCCAGAACTGCATCCAGCTCCCCTTTTGTTGGTACCGGCATATTGGCGGATGTCTGCGGCCATGGGGCAAAGCACACTTTGTTGCCTTTCTCGGTATTTTCGCTGAGCGTCCGGAGGGAAGTTTGGATTCCATTTCCGCAGATTCTTGAGTTTTATAATTTGTCCAACAATCCGCCTGTTGTTTTTTACAACAAGAGTACATCCCAATACCTATTTGCGTAGTAGCAGTCTTCGAATTAGCTTGTTCAACTCCGCTACTACTATAAAAGCAGCCCAGTGCATTAGATCCATATCTGCAGGCCAGTAGTCGGTTATGGTGATACTGTTGGGTAATAAGAGCAACGGGGCGTGTCTCTAAATCCGACATGCGAATGTTGGAAGCGTACCTCGGATCCAGCCTGTCACCCTGCTCAGGTGTGCGTGCCGCATTTCCCGCCCCGAGGATCTGAACGGGGAGCCTGAGAGGAACCTTCGAATGCGGCTGTTGTGCAGAGTTTAATCTGGAGTAGAATAATGGAGCCGTGGCATATATCCAAGACATAGTACGACAAGAAAATATCACACCCTTGAAAAAGACGACAAAGGCAATAGACCAGGGACACCAGATGGGTTTAAAGCATTCGCTCACTCATAGGAGCTTTGCGAAAGAAGAACCAGGTCCGCCATGCGAGGGCTCATAACCTGATGAAGTGCATCGAATCGGCGGTGGAAGGAACGGTGTCTGAGGAGACCCCTCAAACTCCGTTCGTATTATCTTTATTCTTTGTTGGTAACCCGATTCTGTCTCTGGGTCTTCTGAAGCGCGGTTTGCGCGTTCAGCTATCTATTTGACATCAGCCTGGCGTCCCGACTCGCTGCGGGTTAGCTAGGGGCATAACCAGACTCTGTGGAGGGAAAGGAGTCCTTACCATCTCGTTGACACCCTCTTGTACATGAATGGTATGATTCTCCCTTTGGATACGTCCAAATCTGTCATACGCGTTGCAGAGCGGTACCCCATTCGGGTGTCCATTTGTTCCTGGGCTATAGCCCATTAGCATATATCAGACACAGGCATGTGACAGCGCAAAATGATAGAGACCACGAAGTGCATATAGATTTGTGATCCAGGGTGGCAACGAGGTCTGCGATGGTGGCCATGGGTGTGGCGGTAGTGGTTGCTGGGGTGGCTGGCTGCTTCATGATCGTTCTTTGGTGCATCAACTAAGCCCTGGGAATTGTGGCGGATTCTGTCCACAGAGTTTATAATCTCCGAAGCGAATGTCAAGGTTTGCTATTCAAATACACCCCAGTAAAACCGTGAACATCAGCGGTGAGAGTTGTAAAATTGGTCAGACGTATTCTAGCGCCGAGTCGCATGTTCCTTGTCCATGAGAACTTGATTGTCTGGAAGACATGTCGACATGTCTTTGGCTAAGCCATATTCTCACTCGGCAACGTCCGAAGCACATACATGTCCAAGCCACCTTGTTCCATAGCCCGGAAATGGAGAGCACAGCTCTCAGCTGGTGTCCTCCGTTCATGCGACAGTCCCCCGAGCGCTATACGTCTCTTCGATATTGTTCTCTGCCTTGTCCATTCGCTCTTGTCTTTTCGTGAGCCATCTGGCAATCTCTCTATACACTTCACCTCCTGGATACCCCATGGAGTTCTATGCGGATTCCCTTCGTCTTCTCTTCAACCTCATCTATCGCTGGTCTGAAGATTGTGGGTAATGGGTTATTGCCATTGGACTTGTGCTTGCGGACAATGCACATGTCATTTCCGGGACGCTTGTATGTCGTATTCAATCTGTTAAAACGCACCGGACAATCATATAGCGGGCCGATTGCCCGAGCGCGGAGAGATTCCGGCAGAGTCTCCACAGTACCCCTCTATGATGCATTCAGAAGAGGGCAAGATTCGGAGTGTAGCATGGCCTCGCACTCCAGTGCGCAGGACAAGCCACCGACCCTTTTCATGGAATCGAAGGCCATTTGACTTGCGATCCCAGAAGTCAAGGCCGGTTTGTGCTGTGTCTGCATGGTATCGAGATTAAGAGCCGGTTAGTAGGCGAGGTCACAAGGATATAGTAAATCCTTGACGTTGACTTGGGCCCTGGTCAAGCAGTCGCCTTGATTGATCGATTGCTGTACAGGCCCTAATTAAGTGTACCGCACTGGTTCGTACGGAATCCAGGTGCGACTGGCCCACTTCACTGACAACCTTGAATCGCATTCTCTTGGCTGACCACCATCACTGCACATTGGGGCTCGGATGTGTGAGAGTCATGAGGAAAGCAATTAGACCGATGTTTACTACATCCTGGTCGGCTATTCGAAGCCTCGCAGGTCCAGTCCAAAACTCGACTGGACTATACCTCATCATGGATCTAGGCTATTACACATGTCTTGTAAAAGCCTTTAAGATATTCTTCTTCAGTGAAGGTAGTTAAGGTCCATTTACCAGCCGCATCGCCGTCTTTATTCTCAGAAAAGGTGCCAGAATCATGGGGCACGATATTTCTTGGTGTGCCTGGAGCAGTCTTGGCTTCGATGGTTACCACCTTCTGGATAACAGCGCCCCAGAATGCTTGTAACAAAAAAGTTGGCCATAAACCTGGCCCTCTGATGGGTATATGGCAGAAGTGATCCGCTGCTTAGTCCATGGTCGATGTCCAACCTGCACACGATGCAGACTGTCTGTATACATACGCATCCACACAGGCGGAGGTGGCTGCTGGTATCCATCCGAATTCAGGCTGTCGCCGCAATGGCTCGAGAGGGCCTCGAGGTTCCGCATGTATTCGATCACTCTGGTCCCTTCACCCTTATCGAGATGAAACTCGTCTCGAATGACTCGAGCGTACACGACACCACACTCGCCCTTACCTTCAAAATGATGAAGCCTTCTCTTGCGGGAAAGGGTCGGGATTTGAACCTTTGCTGTGCGTTTCGTGGCCTGGAGAATTTTTGTGGCATAGAACTGGGTTGATGTATGACCATATCATTGCCGTCGTGTCAGATTATGTCGTCGGTCGCGGCATCTTAACCAAAGATGTCAGCCAAGTCGGTCATGACTCGAAACGTTGAAAAGCTAACACTTCGAGTATCGGGAAGGGTGCCGATATGTCAAATAGCTGAAGCATTTGTCGCGCCACGCGCAAAGTCTCGACGCGTGCGATAGCGACATGAACAAGCCAGCAGAGTTGAGGGGAACGACTGGCTTTTCTGGTATGCCATCATAGGCAGCCAAAAGAACTTGACTTCCAGGGTTGATTTGTAATTGCTCAGTCCAAGTGGGTAAAGAGCAAAACGCGCTTTCTCTCCTCAAATATGTGCGCCATGTTTCTCGAGCATCTGGGCATGTGTGCGCGGGCATATTCTGATCATTTTCAGGCTTTGAATAGTAGGTCTGACAGCAGCTAACCCACAATGTTCGCAAGTCCGATCCTTGGCCCAGGCTTAGATAACAGATCATGCCGCAGTGCTGAAGGTGGTGTTTGCAAAGACGAGTTTCTGCATCGACTCGGTCGAATCTGCACATGCCATCCATGTGGGCCACTCCTGGCCTTGTATAAGCTGTTCCACTATCATTATAAGTATTTCGGCCGGGAGCTGTGCGTGTGATGGCATTCTGGGGTCCTTCAGTGCGCTTGTGCGAAACGGTCGAGCTGCGAGCTGCGTTCTTGCAGATCGATAGGCAGGCTCAAACCAGTAGCAGTATCCTCTTCTTATACTAGTTCTTCTATGATCTTTCCAGGGTCTGACATGTGAGGATCCCGCGGCCAGTATTCATTCGGTGTTCCCTTTTCCACATACCCCAGAATTTGGTCGAAAAAAGAAAGAATCGGACAAGGCGTTATCGGCATTAGCAATGTGCCTGTTGCTCCCAATCCTGCTGTCTTCCAGGAGGCCTTGCGTACTTGTGCTTGCTTGAGTCTTCCCCAATCCTAATTGATCAGGCCAGTCACTTCGGTCAACCAGGTACATGTCCAATCAATCGGACCCCCTTGAAAGTATCATTTTAGAACGTCAACCGAGTCAAAGAGCGTGCCGGCTCCAATGAGTCAAGGTCTCGTAGTATCCTCGTGGCTCTTGGTATTGACATTTCACGTTGTCACCAGTCAAATCGCAACAGCATTGAGCCTGGCCACTCGATGTTTTGACCCTATTCATCAACCCCAGAGTATAGTCTCTGCAACTGGCATTTCGTGTTCTCATCAGGTTAGCCCCAGCAATACGCATGCGTAAGGCGGCGCCCCCTTGAAGCCTTTTCACGTACTTCGCCGACGCCTCATCAAATTAACCCAGTGTAGATCTGCAGCGGACAGTGATGAAGAGATGAGAACAACGTAGGTTCTTAACATAAGCTTCAAGCTGGCGCCAGCGAGCGAGCCAAAAAGACCGCATGCACCTTGAACTACCGGCGTACCGTGTCTCACAGAGTTTAGTAATGCCTGGACTGCTTCGTATCATGCCGGGATGCAGCGTTGAAGCAGTCCTCGAATCAGTCCCCTAGTGACTTCTCTCCCACTCCACGAAGGTACTGTGGGCATTCCTCTCTCATATGTCCTGTCTTCCCCGATCGAGCATTTTCTTTGACCAAACTATCATTGCGGGCACAAAGGCCAGCACAGTGTTGATCTGACGGCGGATGAGCGTGTTGAGCGCAACGTGTCGGATTCGTGGATGCCGGGGCGAAACAGCCATCCTGATACCAAAGCTGATGCTTTATAAATTCTTGGCACTTTCGGTCACACTGCACAGATCACGGCTATTGAACTCTGCCTTCCGACGGTGGGAACGCCCAGGACATCGGTGGCAGAGACCTGTCAAATTCGCTCAGATGGGCTTGTTAATTCTTGTTAATCACTCCCGGATTATACTCTTTGCTGTCCCGAGTTATACCGAAGATCTCTCCGCGTGGTTTATCACTAGGCACACGGGCACCATCGATTCCTTCGAGCCTTTCGTAGATGTTGGTTGATAGTTCTGGACCTCTGGGCTAACGAATCTCGTTTTTACTGGTAACCAGTGTCTGACTCCCATACTCGCGTGCAGTCTAATCAGTCCAAGCTTTGGAAACTGCACTCTGCCTGCTAAGCTCCCGCAGATGATTCACAGCGAGAAGGCTTCGTATGGCTAATTCTGAAGGACTTCGGGAGCTTAGCTAAAGTATTTCTGTTTGGACAGGAACTGAACTGCATTAGAGGAGCACCATCGCGTTGAAAGTGATGGTGGGAAGGAGCCCGAGTACTCGGCGTGTTGACTTCAGTAGCAACGTCAGTCCGAAAGCCTATCACGCCTAAATTGCGTTTCATTTGTCTGATCGCGCTCTTGGGATAATAATGGCAATCATCGAAGATCATGAAAAGCAACCATTGGAGTGGCGGTTGGATAACTAGACCCGAGAACTGCACTGAGACCGAGACATATCGAATGCAACAGCTCGAAAGGCCGCTTGGGCTCTTCACGACGAGACACAGTCAGCATGCTTTTGGCTCTCGTCTTTGATCACCCATACTTGCTCGGATTCTAAGTACTCCATACGCATCCTCCTCCCTGGATGATCGAAAGGATAACTTGGATTAGGGCATTTTTGATATAATTGGCGGGGGCCACAAGCCGCCCCTCCCTAGTAAGGGGAGAGAAGCCCGTAGCCCCCCCCCCCCCCCCCCGATCAGGACGCAGGAGGGCGCAAGTCAGGAGAATTGCATTTAAAAGCAGAAACAATAAGAGCCGTTGGTAATATCTACCGGAAGCTCGGCGGCACCATCGTCGAACAGCGGGATAACGGGGACCATCACCTGCAGTGATCACAGTCAGCGAAGGCCTCAACCAGATCTGAAGAGACACAAAGAGGCGGCGAACACATACAAGAGCTTTCTCCACCTTAACAAGCAAGGCGAGGGACTTAGAATTCACACGAGCAGGGCGAACAGGCAGCCAATTAGCGTAATTGAGGAGGTCCAATTTAAAGCGGCGAAGGCTCCAAGCGCCCATGGCGCGGAGGGATGGAACTGCCACATCAACTGGCCGCTTTCAACCTGTGATCAGGCTGACTTCCCAGAAGATAGGACTGTTCAAGGAAGCTGGTAATGGACGAGATCAGGGAGGGTGCAGTTGATATAATCCTCGGACTGAAGCGATGTGACTTATTTTGTCGATCAACGCGTTATGAGCATCGGGGGTGCCTTACTTCCCTATAGTGAACGAATGATCCACGTTTGGTACTTCGGAGACGGGTATCCAGCAGATGTTGTTCTCGGTGCTGATCGTATGGTACTTATTGACCAGCTGTGGGCGTGAACTGCGTTGTCATTGGCCCGCTTAGCGACCCTACCATTCATCCAGAAAGCAATATCCTTCCAACATCGTTGCAGGTGGACACGACGAGCAGCTGGTACGGCTTGCCATTCTAGTTAGGGTTACGGGGGAATAGAAGAAGACAACAGACCATCCAAAAGGTTTTCCCGGTGCCGGGCAGTTCTTGCACGATTCCGATCGGCCCATCCAGACTGGACAAGATGTAGACTGCAGCGGTCTGCGGGTCGTGGAATTTCCATCTCGCGAGAAGTTCGGCCGGGGCGACGCTCTGGTAGGCGATGGTGCTGTACAGATCGACTGTCGGCAGGATGTCGGAGCAATTGGCGAGCAGGGTATCCCTGCTAGCATATGCTGCTTTTCGTCGGTATCAGAGATGCCGGCGACGGCAACTTCATGTGCTTCGAGCACTGCACTGCCCCCCGACGGGGCCAGCACTACGTGCCTCCTGCCGCGCTTTCTTCAGATCGATTGCGTTTGCAGTCGACTTGTCCCATTCATTTTGCAGCACAAGTTTCCTCTTTCTCGATGCGGAAGTAATGGTAATACGCATTGATATTGGTCTTGTCCTCTGGGCGTTGATCTGCTTGCCTAGAATCAACTTTAGGGCCCGACACGGGCAACCCGTGTCAAGATATCGAAGCCCGTTGGGCTGATATACAAACCCTCGCTGTTAGCCTTGATCAATAGAAGTATAGTCTTTCGGATCAAGACTGACCGATACCCCACTTGTTGCTCGTCTAAAGGTGCACCATCCTCTCTCAAACTCCTTGATGTTGTTAAAGCTGTAGTTGAGGAGTTTAGTATCCATCCGGGATTCATAGTTGGCTTCGTGCCACAGCTTCTTTCTCGCGATCTACTAGCATCGGCCGCGACGGTTATCACATAGCTGGGCATAACAAGCCCAGACGCTGACCAGCGCGAAGAATGCGATGCAGCTCCGCTGGACTGGGGACGCTCATAAGGAGGGTCGCGACAATACCCACACACCTGGTCGGGCGGGGGCTGCCAGCCAGCCCGGGACACGAGGATGCCCTCGCGGAGCTGAGCCCGGACAGCCAGCTGCCTGGGATCCGACCACCCAATGTACGGCACAGACCGCACAATGGGTTCGCGGATCCAGGCCCGCTCGCAACCCGACAGGGGCTGCGAACCTGTCCAGGGTGGGAGGCCGGGCACCACGGCGGGTGTTGCCTCCAGAACGACCTGCGAACCAGGCCGCGGGAGTCAACTCAACGAAGAGTGAGGCATCCCACTCTTCGTTGTTAGCCCGCTCGCGGGGAGCCGGCTGGTCCCAAAGAATAGCCCTGGGTGTGCCCCCTGGAGGCGGGGGAGTTCCTGGGAGCATGGGGGCTCCCCGGGACCCGCGGGGTCCGCTATGATGTTGGTCATCGTCAATTGAAGCACCCAGTTGCCCCGCGTATACGTAGCAAGCAGTACGCGAGGGCAAGGGGGCAGACGCAGCGGCAGCGTCTCGCACACGCGTAAGAGTGGTGCCGATGCACGCACACGCCAGTCTTTGTAAATTTGCGGCAACCCTCACCATCTCGTGAAGTGCGGGTGTGGAGATGGACAAGGATGGGGTGAGGGTTGCATACGACCCATGTCATGACCTCGGAGATGGACATAGACATTGTTTCCTAGAAGTTCGAGCTGCATTTGCCAAAGTAGTCTCCTTCCACCGGAGCCAGAACTATTCGAGTCCCTTATCTCAGGCTGCTCCCAGTCCGACGCCCGCTCTGCTCTGTCTGGTAGGCCACGGGCTCTCTCACCGGTAGGAATTTTTTGAATCACCTTTCCCAAATCTCGCCACCAATATTCCAAGGGACAGAGATTCATTTTCGTCGAAGAAGTAAACTAGAGGCATGGTGTTGTTTAAACCGGTCATTCTCAGGAACATGAGTTGAGAGTTGACAAAATCCTCATGGGATTTCTGATGTGTGTCATACGCGGCGCGGTCGTTGGACTTTTCTCCGCATGGGCATTGTTTGGTTGCACATCTTCGAGGCCATCCATCCATGAGCGCTCCAGCGATGAAACCGTGTCACGACTGATGTCTCAGCCGTGATTTTGGAAGTCTCGATGCCGCACAACAAACCCATGGTATGTCACGCGTGGACAAGGATCAATCCGATATTTCTTCCGATTTGCAGCAGCGCGTCGATCGCGCGTAGCAAGTGGTCAATCAGGCCGGTCAAGGTCAGCGCCATCCTGAACTGTCCTTTTCGCCAGTGACCCTAGTCGGCCATCATCCGTCACCCCTTCATTGATTGTCATATACACCGCGGTCTGAACACGGTAGAACGCACGGGGCTCTTGTGTAAGCGGCGATATTAAGTTATTGAGTTAGTATGACACTCCTCAGGGAACTCTATCCGAAAGGCTCAGAGTCACGTTGCAGTGTCCTAATATCAGTCTTATCCAATGCATTCCGATTGGTATTCCTTCGATGCCCCTTGTGGCGGTTCATAAATGCCCTAAGCCAAGAGTGCAAACAGAACGATCCAAAATGGTAGGGGCTCATTCATATGGCAGCAACTGTCGAAACTTTGAATAAGCTTAAGAGCACAAAACTTTGCCTCTCAGCCCGATGATCCTTCAGGGTCATAGAAGAGAGTGTAAGACTCCAAAGTCAAATTGCAAACTCCACAGTCCACTTGACAAGTAAGCTTGCAGACTTTATCCCGATACTGATTTGGTGTTATGATCCACTGGCCAAGGTCAATCACCGAACCTGGGCTGGGTTCGGTGAGATGGCCTTCGATAGCAGACTTAGCAACCTGACCACTAGCTGCAAAGGTCTCCTTTCCAGGGGCATCCTTTGACACTATTGGCTGGCAGTAGGAAAAATATACCCAAATCCGGGAGAGTAGCGATTCGGAGATGGCATAGCCCGAAGGTACCTGGAATTAGACTTCCTTGATAACAGACGATGTGGCTTGTATTTGAGAGTAGCATTCAGCGCCCCGAAGAAAAGGCCGAAGCTTCCACCGAACTCAAGCTGTTGATAGGGTCAAGACTCACGATTATCGAAGAGCCGAATAGGTCAACAAGTTTAACAACGAGATGGGAATATGACGACTGATATGATCTCGTCAGACAAGAGTTCATAATTTGATGAAGTTGATCGCGCGGTGTCCGTTCTCTTTTGCTACTATATGATAGCGCAGCGTACTGTCGTCTCCCTTCATAATAGCCACTATTCGAGGCTATTTTCATGACGTAAACAGCTGATTTCCTCAAGCACAAATGGTACGTTGAATAGCTCGATGGTCCGAACAACCGCTGATTTTGCGACCAGATAGGCAAAGAAATCCATCTGTGCCTTGAGTAAGGCAGCGACGAGCCCATTGACTCGCTGCTCGGGTCCGCCTGGGAACTTGTATAGCTCGATTTCTGATCCGAGAAATCGAACATCTCCGAAAGATCCGTACCGTTCCAGCGAACAATGTAAGGTTTCACACCCCCAACTGGCTCGACCTTGGGTCCACTGAATTCTGAGATCATCTGACCAATATCCCTTCTAGGGGTCATACTAGAGAGCATTGTGCCTCCCAAGCATGCTTGCTCCCACCGATAACAGTTGCTGCATTCTTTCGAAGCTTTTCGGTCAAATCTCCGCATTTGCTTTTCTGTCCATCGGGTAGCCGCCTTTTGCAGCTGCTGATCAGTGCACTTGAATATATCAGAACCGATGAGCTTGGAATTCCTTGCTAACACACACAAATCCAACAAGCCTGCTCAAGCTGGTTCATGCATGTCGATGACGTCAGGTTGCTGAGCAAACGCATTGTGCATGCTTCTTCGCATCGATGACCGACCGTCCACCAAAAGTGCTTTGTAGTGGTTTCAGATGCTCATGACGATTCCTTCAAATGACCCGCTCAAAGCAAACAATGGCCTTGTGGGATAGTTGTACCGGGTTGGACAACCTTGATTGCTGAATCCTTGAAGGCACGAATCGGAACCGCAATGCATCCGTGCGCCTTGGAAGCTATCTTCTCTTTGCCCTTCAACCGCTCAGATCCCTGAAACCATTGATTGCATCGCATCTGATAAACCTGTGATGCCACCTAAATCTATCAGTAGATGTTAGATGGCAGTAGTCGAAAAAAACCCACACCTTAAGAGTCTTTTTGTCGCGGGATGGAACGCTTGGGTCTGGCACCAAGATGAAAACGCCGGCGCCCCAGTATTTTCTGGCTTAATGTGACCTGTCTGTTCCATTTCCAGGATTCGGTTTTCTCTGGTTTCCAGAAGAGGGCCAGAGCTTCCCAAAATTGTTCATAGTCTTTTTGACCTTTTCGGCCAAGGCGTACAGGGTAAATATGAGCTACTTCGATGGGCTTCCTGAACCCGGTGATCACGCAAGTAGACTCATCCTGTCAGTCCCCCTGGGATAAATCAGTAGACAATGCGGACATGTTATTTTGGTGGATTCGACTAGTTTCTTAGCAGACTTACTGCGAGCAGTCGTAAGTAAGTACATGAAATTAGAAGAAATACCTGTGTATGGAGATGTTTGGCATCTTCCTGAGAAAGCGAGAGGCATCAGGCTTATATGCATAGCCTTCTTTGTGCCGACTGGGATACTCCCGGATCATCAGAAGTGCTCGTAAGTAGCCGCATACTGGTAGTTTTCATACATGGGTGGTGTTGTACTTAGTTGAGCTCTTTGACGATTTCTTAGCTGCCTTTTTTTTGGCACCTCGATGGGGAGAATAAAGGATCAATAAATGAACATGAGCTTCGCAGCTGACGAGCTCGTGACAAGCTGATGTATGCTAGCCGGTAAACGTCATGGGTGTCTTTTGGCCCCACCGATTGATGCACTTCTTTGCCTGGTTTTCGTATGCCGGTATGAAGCAGGGGTCTACTATAATCATATCTTTCGCTCGGGTGAGATTGATTCCGGTGCCCAGCATCTCCACAGCACCAATCAGTTGTTTGTCTTCAGGGCAAGGAGCATCGCTCATCACCCTAGCTGTCCTCCTTGCTTTGGCCTCTTTTTCAACTGCTCGAATCTCATGGGTTTGGTGCAGTTTGCTGCCGGTAGCATGGCCGCCGGTGACGATAACTCGCAACTGAGATGATAGCGTCCATTTCGGAAGACCCACGAACCCATGATAAGCATCCTGGCCACAGCACAGTTTGAGGTGGTTCTCAGGTTACTAGGCTGTCTCGTCAACGAACATGAAGGGTGATGGACGAGATGAACTGCCCATATACATGAGAGCGGTCCATGGCACGTTTCCAGGGGCCGATGACTGCTTTCATTGCACACCAGCCGGAACGGTCTTCCATTAAAGTGAAGAAGAAGAAACAGAAACTGAGCAGCCCTAGGACGGGTCCCATAGATAGAATCTTTCTGGCAACATCTTAGATGTCCACTGCTCCTGTAAACAGGCAATAGATGGTAGACAAGACGGCGTGGACAGCAGTCAAGGAATCAGTGATGTGTAGCCATGAGAGGATAGGTTGCGGAGTTGCATTATGTAAGTTGTCGACATTGGTTGGTAGGAAGGATAGCGGAAGGGAAAATGGTATCTTAGCAATATAAGCCAGGAGTTGATTGATGCTTGGTTTCTCGGATGCAGATCATATGATGGGGAGATCAACGTGGACACAGTCATGTGGTAGAGTGGCGAAGTAGAAGGAGTGGGCTATGAAGATAGAGATGGAGGTTGTATAGGGAGATAGACACAGATAGACACAGATATGGAAGATGGAGATGGTGAGTTGGAGGTGGAAGGTGGAAGGTGGAAGGTGGAAGGTGGAAGGTGGAAGGTGGAAGGTTAGAAGTAAATGAAGATGCAGACGAAGATGCAGCTGGAGAACGAAGACGGAAGACGAAGACGGAAGACGAAAATGGAAGACGAAGATGGAAGACTAAGATGAAGATGGATGGTGAGAGTTGAAGAGTATGGAGGAAGGAAGAGGAAGAGGAAGAGGAAGAGGAAGAGGAAGAGGAAGAGGAAGAGGAAGAGGAAGAGGAAGAGGAAGGAAGAAGAGAAAGAAGGAGGTATTTAAGCACCTCGTCAGTCAGCGACCGCTGCATTATTCAATTAGTCTATTGTATTCAATAATGGGTTATGGCTAGCAAGGAATAAGGACATGATGATTCACCAGTACTCAATACTTGGTAGATATTCTCATCGATATCCAGGGTGAATGGATCTGCATTTAGGGCTTTGAAATATGAGAGCAGGAGTGAAGGTTCATAGTCGCGCATACTTCCATGCCCATGAATCAGCTTTCTTTGGATGACTTAGGGAAAATGATTGACAGCCTGCATTATCTACTATAGAGCATCCTCTGTATACCCATGCCTTACTCAACAAGGTTCACAAGAATCATTCATCATGAAGGCATACAAAGCCCGACATGTGACAACCCAGCAACCCCTCTCCCCTCCTCAACCCCCATCAACCCCCCTAAGCACCATCATGATGATGATGCATCTCCCCGCCATGATACTCATTCGGATGAAAATCCGGATGCCCCGGAATCTTCCCGGTAGCCTTGTACTCTTTCTCCGGAAACGAGGGACCTAGTCGCCTAAAGTCAGCTTACCCTGGACATTACCCCCCAAAACCCGCTCCAAGATTTGGTGATAACTCACCTAAAGTCGGATGCACCAGCGTCGTCTCATCAAAGATATCAAACGCATGCTCCTTAGCCCAATTGTCCACCATATCCCAGTTCGCGCACTCATGATCGACCACAAAGTTGGGCTTCGGGGCGCGGTCATTCGGATCCCAGGTGAAGGTGAGCAGGGCCACGTCGGCTTTGCACATGATGTTCTGGCGGAGGTTGTCGACGCAGTGCTCTATTCCATGGCCCGACAACATCAACAACAACATCCGAAGCTAGCCTTTCTTGCTTTTAGGAGTGGGGACATACCGATATGAACCGGAGTCGTCGGTTTCCCGATATGATAGTAGTTCTGATAAACCACCTGCCGCAGGAATTTCTGCACACTGGCTGTCAGTCCCCATCCCCAAACCCAGCCCATCAGGGCAGGCTATCTTACCAGGCAGTGAAGTTGGTGGTATACGTCTGCTATCGCGTCAGCCTTCAAGCCACATACTGTGCATACTTCACACGACGGAACAGAAACAAAATCGATGGCTACCTACCCGGGATAGCATAATACCCCCCCTTCTCATCATTGATCGGCACCGAGGTGCGATTGATCCGGGCCAGATCCTCGGCGGTGACCCGGATATTGGAGTTGACGAAGAGTTGGTGCCACGCGTGGTCCAGTTCCTCAGAGGGGGCGCCCTTGAACGGGTTCTTGCTGTCGATCGCGGCGTAGACGGTCTTGCGTTCCATGTGGATGGCTTCGTGGAGGGGGGCTTATCTGACATTAGCCTATCCGTTCTTCACATGTTGATTATCTTGGGGTGAGGGTTTGGGAAGCGTACAATCAATCAAATGCGCTGGTTTAGACACTGGCCACTCCCTTGATTTGGACGTCGCGATCAAGAAAGCCGCGCCGTAGAGCGAGGCAAGCAGGAAGTGGAAGCAGAGGCTCTGCCATCGGAAGAAGGAGAACGGTCGCCGGGGAGGCCGGTCAATGTAGCAGGCCTCTTCCTCTTCTTCCAGAAGGCGTTGGGTCTTAGAGCAATGCTCGTCATGGTAGTCTGGTAGAGGCAAGTGGTCGGAGGAGGTGCTGTCCTTGCTGCTTTTCTTCAGCGCGGCGTACATTTTGGATGCGTTGATACGAAGGAGGCAGAAGATGGTGATAGTATGTCTCGGATGCGAGAAGGTGTAATAATCCCACAGACAGAGAGGGCAGCAAATTCACGAAGCACAGGTAAGTATTGCACGAGTTGGGCTATCAGCAACAATGGTGGCAAGAAAACCTGCTTTCTGCGTCAGAGATGCAGCTATTCTCCGGCAACCGGTTACGGCTGGAATGGATTTCAATTCAAGTCCTTGGGACTGCTTTGCGAGTCATCGTACTTGAAAGTAAGGTAGTTGACATTGCAATCCTGGGAGCCAGCGCAGCTGCTATCATAGAGAATCGAAACCAGTGGACAATTTTGGAACGCTATAGCGCCACCGTCGACATAGTCACTCGACACATGATTGTGAACCAGCACTACCTACATTCTTCACACGATCATCCGAGACAAGTCAAGTCAAAAATGCCTCAAGTACAGACCGAGACTTGCCACCTCCTCCCTTCCCAGCCCTATCAAACCTTCATCCACCGTCACAATCTCATTCCTCCCCCTCTAACCCTCCGGAATCCAACCAAACTATCCCCACCCCTAATACCATGCAAAGATTGTGCATGTACAGTATCTGCAACCCCCCCCAAGCGCCCAAATCCATCATGAAAACCCGAATTTCCAGCAGCCCAAATCACCATTACCCCTCAATCACCCATTCCAATTCCAGCCGGTCGCTTCGTCAACTGGAACGCAATGACTCTCCTGACTCGTATCTCCATCCCAGAATCCAACCAGGCGAGGAAGAATGTACTGTGTCACCATCACCATCACCATCACAGTCACCCCTTTCGCATCCCCTCCCTCTGCATCCCGCCAACATATCCAGATCCCATCAACGCTGTAATCCACCGCATCCAGCAACATAAAACCCATCATCACCCCGCGCTCAAACAAAGCTTCACAGCTCTACAGCTCCTATCATCTTCATCCGAAATCAAATTTCTTCAGCATATCAAAAAAAAAAAAGAAACTCATCTTGCTCTTCCCCGAGAATATCGACGCGGACAGTTCCACAGGAAAAATGATGTACTCGCCCAAGTTCCTGCTCGCGGTGTGCCTTACCGTGGGCTTGGTGACGGCTTTGCCTAGTATGTTCTGCCTTTCTTTGGGGGTGGTTGGGGCTTCATCAGGGGTTGTATCCTGATGAGGAGAATGGAGGGGGGGGTATTGTGGGCTATGGATTGGGAAAGAGGCTGACTAGATTCGGGTTTTTGTAGAGGTGGGGTCGACCAGCGAGTTGGATGGGGATCTCTACAATTACAAGCGCGATGGAGCTGAGCTCGACGGAGATCTCTACAACTACAAGAAGCGGGCTGAGACCGAGCTCGATGGAGATCTTTACAACTACAAGAAGCGGGCTGAGGCCGAGCTTGATGGGGATCTCTACAACTACAAGAAGCGGGCGGATGCTGAGCT